CTGGGCTTCCTTGAAATTTCCTTTGCCAAAGTAATTGACTGCTGTTAATCTTAGTCTTCTGCAAAATCTTCTGCAAAATCTTCACGAGTGCAATGTAGATAAATTTTCTGCAAGACCATAACATGGTGTTGAGTTCAACTCCCAGTAGAGTCCTTGTTCTCAACTAAAAATTCCTGTATCTGGGCTCCATGTCTGATCTTCTGAGCTCAGACTGGAGTTTCTCATTCAGCTTGTCTTAAAGAATTCTAGAACTTCTCTAGCCAACATCTCCAGACCTTTTCAAAGTTCTCCCACAGCCACTGCCAAGCCTTCCAAGCCATGAACAGGCAAGTCACAGTAAGGACTCCACTTCTGCTACCAAAGTCTATTTCAATTGCTTCCTCAATGCTTGAACACAGTGTATAGCACTCACATTTTCGGTCCATAGTCAAGTCAGCTCTGGGACAGAGAGGTATGGGGGAAGAGCCTAGCAGAAGAAAGCTGCCCCTGTGATGGGAACAAGGCAGCAGAAGGAGAAAGGGTGAGTCAGGAAGGGTGGTAAACCCTTCAAGGACATGCCTGCAGTTACCCACTATTCCAAGCAGAACCCGGCCTTCCCTTAGCAAGTCAGCTACAGGTCGGACAGTCCAATCAACTTCCAAACACATGAGCTTAGGAGCCACTTTAGGTTTAAACCATAACAGAGAACAAGCTTTTGAAGTCTCTTATGTTCTAATTAATTAATTAATTAATTCTGTAGCTGGATCTATGTTTATTAATTATTCAGACTAATTATTTTTTGAATCCACTTTATCCACCCTGAAATGCGCTGGGGTGTAATTCCACTTGTGAAGTGGTAAGGTGGTGGGAACTCAATCTGACCTTGGTGTTTTGAGAAAGGGCTTTACAGAGGTGATCAGAATTAGATAAATTCATCAGGGCGGAGTGTTCATGATCAAGATGGATACACATGTGTGCACATGCATGTGAGCTCACACCTGGAAATACAGGTGCAAACACATGCACATGCAGGTGCATGTTCTCTGTTCCTTACCCTGTGATAATTTATAAACTTTGGACTCTGCCAGCAAAACATCCATCGCCAGATGCAGCCCATTGACCTTGGACCAGAACCGTGATCCAAAGTTAACCATTTTTCTTTACAACTTACCAGGTTTTGGTATTATGATATTAGTAACAGAAAACAAATTAATACTGAATTTTTCTTGGGTCATGTAAGTATTTTGTAGTAAGATACTATACATACAGTGTAAATCATTCATTCCTCTGAACTTGACTATAGTCTCTTAGGTTTTTGTAGTGTTTAACTATTATTCTGTCATTTTAGTTTTTATTTTCCTTTCAACCTATTAACCTTTTAATTTCTAGCTTTTAAAAAACTGTTTTCTGTTGTTAACATCATATAAACAGGGCAAGTGGCAAGGAATATGCACAGTGCTGAGTACTGGGGCCCTCACTGGGAAGCCCCACAGAGACATGCAGACAGGACAAAGCAGAGGTGCAGAGCCCCACCACTCTGCATCCTGGAGCACACACGAGGGTTTGGAAGGTCAAGGCCCCGACTACAGGAGACAAACCTCCGCTCTTGGTCTGCAGGGATCTTGGTTTTTCTTATGGGGTTTTTGTTTTGTTTCATTTTATTTTATTTAGTTTTGTTTTACTGCAGTACTGAGGGATGAACCCAGGGCCTTTGCCCTGAACTCTACCCTCAAATCTTTTTTATGTTTTATTTTGAGGTGTGGTCTCACTAAGTTACTAAATTGCTCAGGGTGGGTTTGAATTTGTGATCCTTCTTCCCCAGCCTCCCAGGGTTGAGATTAGAGGTACAGTGTGTGCCACCACACTCTGCAAATCTGGACTGTTAAGCTGCTTCATAATTAAGAAAGCATTGGAACTTCCTCTAGTGCAACAAGAGGCCAGAACATAATAGTAATTCAAAGTGACAGAACTTGGGTCCAGACCTGCCCTGTGAATGCAGTATTTAGACTGGGGGAGTCAACAGTCTTGTATGACTAGGAACTGGGATGCAAAAACCAGAAAACCAGCATTATTATTAGGGACACATCAGCCTCCCTCCTAGCATGAATAACATCAGGGATCTGACCTGTACACAGATAATTGTTTAGGCAGCAGCCAGAGCTGGAGTCCATGGACCTTTTCAGAAGGCAAATTCTTTTTTCGGGATGTTAGGCCGTTAGAAATCAGTCTTAGGCAACTGGAACCTTACATTTCCATTTTAAATTTAATGTCAAGGTTCTACATTCTTCTCTGGCTTTTTTCCTTTCTTTGTAATTTACATTACTTTGGTGTCTGTACACGTTTGTTTTGTTAAAATAAAAAGCATTTGAAAGGGAAGTTAATTCCCTAATTTTAGTGTATAAAATTGAATGGATATGGGTGAAGTTGACCTTAGTAATTATTCAGATTCATAGGTTTATTTATTTTTCACTATTTGATCTTTCACAGGATAAATGAAGTGAATTTAATACTCTCACTGCTATTATTCTAGGTGAATAATTTTATATATTTTCTGCAATTTTTGTATTTTTATATGCTTTATTTAGTATAAAAATGTGATTAAACACTGGATCTTTGGATTTACATAATATTTTATACATTCCTGTTTAGAATAATTTAATTTTTTAACATTATCTAAATATCATGGCTTCAATCTTTTTTGGCTCTGTCTGACCTTGTCTTGCCCTTTTTTTCTCTCTGTATTATTTCGTTCTAGGCATGTCTTTTCAATGCAACCTATGATTTATATTTTGAACAGTTATTCTGAGAGTCTATTTTAATATATGTTTTATTTTATTTGCAGTATAACAATTTGACCTTCAAACATAAATTCTTGATTTTAATACTTATTTTCCCACATTTTATTGCCAGTGTGGTTTTTCTTTCCTTTGGTTTTTGTTTTGTGTATTTCTGGGGGGAATTTTAATTACGCTAATTTGGAAAGTTTGTAATTATTTCTGGTTCTGCTGGTGCTGTGGGTTAGACCTGAAATGTGTTCCACAAGGTTCACGTATACAGGCGCGGGGCCCTTCGAAAGCAGCTGGGTCAGGACGTATCCGCAGGTGATCTCACTCGCGGCTGGCTGGACCGAGGCTGGGCCGAGTTAGCGAGATGGGCGGCGGAGGGCGTGACTCTGAAGGGCACATCTCTCACCCTAGGGCTCTTTCTGCTCCTGTGAGCATCTGTCTGTGATGCAAAATACTGAAAATTTATGTTTTGATGATTTATTGAACAGCACTGATTTACTCCCAATTACAAAAAGAAAAAAATGTGTGGACATTTATATTTCCTATTTTAATTGAAAATACTCCTAATGCTCCTGACAATTATTTTTATATACTATAGACTCGTGATGTTAATTTACATCACATAAAAACAACCTTCAGGATTGCTGGGTTCCCTTGTAACTCTTCAGTGGACTCAGTGTTCGGTGCCGTTCCCCTCTGCTGTTTAGCCTCCCACCTTTAAATTCACACCGTTTATTTGGCCATATTTTCACTTCTTTTTAAGGAATTTCTTTTCAAGAGACCTAGTCACTGTGTCCCTTGCGTCTCTACACGTGAAGAGCGTCCATTCCATGATCTGTTGATCAACAAGCTGGCTGTGTGACACCTGGACCACATGATAGCTTCCCCCTTCAGCTCCAAAAATATCGTCCACTACCTTCTTGCAGCAGCTGTCTCCATGAAAAATGTGGAAGATGGCCGGCTAAAATCCAAGGAGACCACCTCTTCCTACCGTTATGTCCACTGGAACTTCTGCTGTTAAGTTCACTAGCGTTACAACCACATAGAGGTTGAGTGCTCCTTATCCAAAGTGCTGAGGAGCAGAAGAGTTTTTGATTTCTGAGATCTTTTTAGTTTGGGATATCTGCATCTACCTTGAGATACCTTGTGGGAATGGAAACTAAATCTTAACATGAAATTCATTTATGTTCAGGTCTACCTTATACGCATAGACCACTTTACACAATATTTTTTTCAATTAAAAAAAACTAACAAAACAACAATGAAGACAAAATGAAAACAACTAAAAACATGAGCTCAGAACACAATGATAGGAATCAGCAACGGTTGCTAATTACATAGTCATTGTCAATGGAGTCGCTCAGTCCACCAGTATTGTTAATACTTTTGTGCCTGAAACACAGTTTCATGTGGGGAATTTTCAACTTGTGCCATCATGTTGAGGTTCACAACATTTCAGATTTTGCAGCTTTCAGATTCTTGTAGCTTTTCAGACTAGAGATGTATAGCATTCTCTCTCTCTCTCTCTCTCTCTCTCTCTCTCTCTCTCTCTCTGGTACTTTTGAAACAGAGTCTCACTATGTAGTTCAGGCTGGCCTCAAACTCACAATGATCCTCCTGCCTCAGCCTCCTGAGTGCTGGGATTACAGGCATGCGGCAGCACACCCCAGCTCACTATAACATTTCTAGGTATATCTTCACACAGATTTAGTTCTTGACTTTAAAAATCTGTCCCTCATTTCTAGCATTGAATGTTGGTTAGATACATCAGTTCCTCACATGTTTAGGAATGCAACTCTTCTCATGGGGATTTTTTTGTTTTCCATTTCATCTTACTTGGAAAAACTTTTATTTTTCTTTTCTCCACTGAATTTATGAAATTTTTTCAAGTTTATTATTTGTGTCCCTAACTGTTTTCAATAACACTCTTTTGGTTGTTGTTGTGGTTGCTTCTTTAACCACTGTGGTACAGTCAAAGAAACAACATCCTGTGGTAGTTTTATTGCAAAATTTTAGTTTATTGCTAAGGTTGACAAGCTCACTTTCATGTGATTCTTTACAAGGAGCTGCCTTGCCCTATTTAATCCATGTCTTGCCTTAAAAGATTGTTTTTACAGTTGTTGCGTCTTTAAAACATTTTTCTAGTATAGAGAAAGTCTGCTTTCTAAATTTTGTTTCCCTGTTTCCTGGAAACATTACACTGTGTTCTTACTTTTCACTTGGACTGCTCTTTCTTATGTTTTTTTCCATGTAATATCCACACGCGGCTCTCATATGACTCCACTCCTTCTTCTCATTTTTAAACTACGAGCATTCATCCAGGCCTGCTGTTCACCTGAGTCTGGGGTAGGACTAGGCTGGAGGAGAGAGGTGAGAGAGCAGATTTGAAATCTCCATTTCTTTTTTTTCCTTCCTTCTTTCCTTCCTCGTTCTGTGTGTGTGCGTGTGTGTGTGTGTGTGTGTGTCAGTATAAGTCCAGTTTCAAGAGTGCTCTGTTGCCCACTTCATGATAAACACATCACCCAGAAAGCCCCGTGGTTCTGAGGGTTGTCGCATGTATATACATTTTTATGTGTGTGATCTCTATGTGCAGTAAACATTAATGTTTGTTCTCCGTCCTCCATCATACCTTACTCCAGAGATGATTTCTCATTGTGAATCGGCTAGTTTGCGGAAAGTTGAGAAAAATGTCATTCCTCCCTCAGAACCATCCCGTTTTTCTGTAGGAGGAACTTTTGCACCCCACAACCAAACCCACTCAGCAAGGGTGTTCGCAGTTTTCCTTCACCAGTGTCTTGCGCAAGCGGAGGCTGCTGCGAGCTCCTCGCAGTCTGGAACCGCACGCTGGCTGCCAGTGCTCCCCCTGCGCAGGCCCAAGTGTCATCATGTTTGGCTGTATTCCTCAAAGGCTGTACTTTCCAGATTTAGCCAATTCCTTATTTCTTGAAAATTTGTTTTTTAGTTTCTCTGTTGATTGCTGTGGCTTTTAGAGAAGGACATAGAGGAAAAAGCATGCTATTTCTTACCAAAATCAGTCCAGGATTTTTAAAGCTAATAAATCATTGTCATTATGCTTAACTATACTCCTGAGTCGCTGGCCACATGTCACGTGGGATGGCATCTGTGAACTCCCAGAGTGCTCACAAGTTACCTAGCAACCAGAGTCCTTTTATTCCTTCCAGCAGCCTGCCCCAACCCTACCCTACATGGCCCAGCCCACCCTGCCTTAAAATAGAACGTGTGGTAACATGAATCACATGGATGTGATTCTGTAAGAGAAAGCTTGTTGCTTCCAAAGGGCAGTCCAAATCAAGAAGGGGTTTGGAGAAAGGGGTGTTAAATGAAAAAAAGAAAAAGTATATCAATATCAAAAGTAGAAAGAAAACAAACTGCAAGTAAATTGAAGAAATCCATGTAGGTCAACAAGACCTTGACAGAAAGCCAAAACAAGAAACTGCAGATTGTTTGCATGGTTTCTGTCACAGAAGTGAAACGACCCAAGCAGAAATCTGGAGTTTCTGCAGGTAATGCTGTTTTCCCCCCAAATGCTGAAAATATTAAAATAAAAAACAAAAACCGGAAGTATAGGTGGATAAGGTGAAGAATAAGTAGGACACAGAGCTTCACACAGTCCACCCCATTCCTCAGTGTAAGGAGCAGAGGGGCACTTCTGTGCCTCAGAAGATGCTAAGGACGAAACTTTGACCTGCCTCAGAATGGACCATGGTGCGTGTGTGCACACGGGGGCTCCCGGGGTCCTGCAGGTGGTACCGAGGCCGGGCCAGAGCAGAGGTGGCCGCGTGTGCGCCTGCTGCCGTCTCACCTCTTTGAACAGATACACCTGCTCTGAAGGGCAGTGGGAGGAAGCCGGGAGTCACCAGAAATGTCGGTGCCCACAAAATGCCCATCAACAGCCAGGAATGGAATCAAGTGCATCTGGGTGAGAAAATTATACTTTAAAAGTGCAAAGTCAGTATCTGTATTATTCCAAATGAGAAGCAGCAAGCTTTCCAAATAAAACTATAGCAGTTCCATTCTCCAGCTCCGGATAATCTCTACATGGGATATGTCAGGGTTAACAGATAAATGCTTTTCTTCCCCCAAGTTAGTGAATGATTTGCTGAAACTTAAAACCTACAGAATAAAAATCAATAATGCATGTAGAAGGTAGAGAAATATTAACAAAGAGTATTATTCAAGAAGAAATATTTACTAAAATTGAGAAATAATTTTAAAAATTAGTAACATTAAAATTAGTTTCTAGACATGATATATTAATATCGATAGTTTTATAAATAGCAATGATCTTTTGTTATTAATCATCAATTAAATATGAATTACAGTTTAAATTGCCAACATCTGGCAAGTCAGGCAGGGTAAATCAACTATTAATTAAGTTCATTATTATGTTTTGCAGAAGCTTTAACACTTTTCAAAACTGGAACATACTCTTCAGTGAAAAGCCTAAGCTAAAGTCAGAAGCTTTGCTAATTCTGTTGATAAACCTCCATATCCAAAATGAATGAAATCTCTGCACATCTTCATGGGGACTTTTCACAGCCTTCTGATTCACTTATTTAACTTCCTGAACCTCAGTTTATTTTAGTAAAGCAGGACGACTTTGATATTTACAAGTAGACTGTATGTCTGCTTGGATGCTAAATAAATAAAAGTGCTAAGGGCAGAACACCTAGTGGTGTTCTGGTATTCTCAAACATACTGTGGTTCACATGGTGTCTCAGTTGGTGGAATGCCACTGTAACACTGTAACCTGCGCAGGTGAAATCCAGGGGACCGATGTCAGCATCTAGTAAACGGCATCCTCCGGCTAATGCCTGAGAAGCAGCAGTCAAGTCCCACTCACATCTGAATGAAATTTAGAGTACTTCTGCTTGCAAAAAAATAATCGTAACAAGACTTCTGTATTCTATGGGCATGAAGGAATGGACCCATGCCATGTACAAGCACGAACTACTTTGAAGCTGTCACAATAGAGGTACTATCTAAAAGTTAATGTGTTGATCAACAGAACTAGAAGGTGATAACTAATAATACATACCATCAAACATAGTTCCTCACATTTTATAATATAATTGTACCTATATTATTGCAGATTAGTATGGTTTACAATTCTATAGAGAATTCTCTTTAGCGTACCTTGAAAAGAATTATTCTCAAATCATGTTTCAACTGAAGCTCAGCTTCTGTGAGGTTCCTCTGAGGTACTTCTGCAGCCATGATCTACACTATCTTTAGGCTCTATACCAATTCTGTACAAGAAAAATACATTTAAGTTTCCATATGATGTGGAACTATCACCTTACCTGTAGTAGAAGGCATGGGATTTTTGCATGCTTGTGTCATGCTCTCCAGTATCAACTAAAATAATGACACTAATACACATTTTGAAAGATGGATGGGAAGTCTTCTTGAATTTCATCAATACAAATTTTGTAGTTCTATGATTTTCAGCTCTTATTCTCTTAAGACAATTTAGAGGGAGATAAACTTATATGGAAAGTCATTGCTACAAATTTCCTTGGCATGAGATAGTTAACTAACTTTGAAAATCTGTCTCCATTGTAAATTCTAAAATCTTAAATTGTGAACAGTATCTATTTACTAAATACTTTGAAAATATAAGGCGAAAAAGGTAATACCCTTTTTTATTTTTTCCTTTATTTTTCTTTCTCAGCTCTTTTCAGAGGAATTCAGTCTGAGTTTTACAAAATTAATCAGAGTAGAGAAATACAGCCATTGTCAAATTTTAAAAGACAGATGAAATTAATCATATGTGATAAGCCATAAACCAGAAGAATTTTATAAAGAAAAGGAGGAGGAATTCAGCTATCACAGTAAAGCTATCCATATAATAGTTACTAATTACTCCCTAGAAATCAAGTGAAATGCTATAGTATGAAATTACAAGATTGTAGAAGGTTTTGTTTGAACTACTTTATTTACTAACCACTCACACAGAATTCTCAGGTCACATGTGTAGGAAGTAAGTGCATGCAAGTATTTGGTCATTGCCTTGAGACTCATGAAGTGTTTTTTTGTATACTAGAGGGAAGCACACAGGCCGAAGACAGTGGACTCTGAGACAGGCTTTAGGGTTCTACTTGATCTTACCTCCTTCTGGCTGACTTCTCCACAGAAAAGAGCTGGCACCCTGCTTAGCATTAGCTCCACATGCAAAATGAGGCTGTCTGCTACATGTACTTGAAAACATCCCTTACATGTACCTTAGGCTGGGATTGACTCTCCCGACTTGACATGAAACCTCAAAATGCCATCAGGGGAAAGGTATGTAGTTACTGAACGCCTACTGTACCCAAAGCCCTGGATCGAGCCCTCTGTGCACGCTAATGGAAAGTGACCACTCTTCAAAGAACAAAAACACAAAGGTGTGGGTAGAAAACTTCTAACACCTAAACTTAATTTAGTGTACTGCTTCCTTGCATTAAAGATGCAAGATCTGAAGGAAACAGTGATGACCATCAGTGTTATCATCACATCCAGTAGGATGGCTACCTGTAGTTCGGTTATGATTAACTGGAGTTCTATATGCTTCACTTATCTGGATGTCCAATTCTTTTACCAAGTCTGGGAAGTTCTCTGCTATTATTTCTCCAAATAGTCTCTTTATGCCATTTGTGTTGACACCTGCTGTTTCATTAATACCTATCAATCTGACATTATTTCTCCTTGCTTCGCCTTGCAGTTGTTGAATTGTTATTTCCTGGTTCCTTGTTCTTTTTAAGAGATCCCTCCTTTCAAGTTCATTAGTGGCACTGCGGTCTTCAAGGTCTGAAAGTCTATCTTGAGCTTCGTTCAGGCGGTTTTGCAAGCTTTTGATTGAATTTTTAAGTTCCTGGATATCTGTTTGCATCTGTTTCATACCTTCTAGTTCTTTTCTATATTGTTCCCTGAAGGTTTCACTGAGTTTTCTATGTTCTTCTATTTTCTTGTCTATGTCATCTTTGGATATGCTGAACATTTCTTTCATTATTGTTGTCATTTATTTTCTCACCTGAGACATTAATTCTGATCTGATGTCTTCTATGGTCTGATGGAGTTGTTTTTTTTACTTCAGTTGCTATCATTTCAGAAATTTCAGGTGTATGACTTCCAGGCTTTTCTGTGTTGATGCCTCCTGGACTTGTTTTGGGTGGTGTGGAGGTCTGGGATTGCATTTTACTCCTTCATTTCATCATTTTTGAAGATCCAGAGGTTCCCTGTAGTGCAATCTCACTGTCCTGATTGTGTGTGAGTGGCAGGGTGAAAGTCTGAAGATCCCCAGTGCTCAGTGTAACTCCTGTGCTGGTGAGTGGTGGCAAGGTGGGGTCCCAGATACTTCCGACCTTTCT